CATTTCCTGAATTCATCTAGAATCACACGAGAGGTGTCATAATTATCTTCCCTATGGATCCCATTGAAATTTTAATGACAAATGCATTATAGAGAGAAAGAAAAATATAACTGTATATATGATGGTAAAACTGAGTCAAAGCCAATCATAGACCTTATTTGGCTGCAAAAAATGTTTCCAGATTCAAAATTAGATGTGCCGACTGTATAGGTTCAGAACAACTTGACTGCCACTTTCTTAGGGTTCCGTAGAATGTAGGTAGGTGCCATCTGCAGATCCCATGGTCCTCTGCCATGGGTTGGTCGTCTCATATGATTTGTCCATTTGATTGGCTTCAGCTTTGAAAAAAAGGGTAGATTTTTGAAGTAGCCCAAACTGTGTAAGAAATGTATTACAACAATGTGTTTTTCCTTCATGTCGATGGAGAGAAGAAAGGAGTGGACTTATTTTGATAATTTGTGATTGGCATTTGATGGAATTTTCTTAAGAATAGGAGTGATACATATTATGAAAAGAAATAATAAAACACAATTACGTATAATTTTATTTTTTTGATCATGTTATATTTAGGTTACATTTATATTTATTGCTGGATATTTATAATTACATAAAACTCCCCAAAATTATTAGAGCCTCATTTGCACTGAAATTTCTATTCCAGCAACCCAAGAAGGAACGGCCTCAGCACACAAACTACGTAGAGTTGGTCAGAGAGAATAAAGACTTTGAGACGTATTACAAGGTAAGTTTTTCCTTATGATGTAATGAACCTCAGTAAATGTCATTTTGGAAATTTGAGTTACATAGACAAGAAAAAAGTTTGGCCTAGAAAAATATCCCTGAGGGATACTAAGGCACTAAGGACACAGTTACCTCCTTTATTTTGTTTTAGGTTATTTTCAGAAACTGCAATTTTTTTATAATTTTTTGATTATTTGTTTCAAAAATATTTGCTTCTGACCTTCAGTCGATATGACCAGCATCTTTTCCATCTTTTTGATTATGGAGTTTAGAGAATAACTGTGTGGAGCCAACTTAATAGGATTACAGGCAAACCGTGTGTTCTCTATCTTCTTCTTTGCATGGACTGTTTTGTACAGAGAAGTGCATTAAGTCAGATGCTTGGGTGACATCAAAAATCCTTGTACTATTCTCCAAATATGATTATTATATACATTTTTCAGGTTAAGAAGAACCAAAATTGTTTAAGCATGGCTGGGCAATGGCTCCACAATAAACGTTGTGTGCATATGTATATGTATTTTCCCCTCCCTTCCCAATTAGGCCCAGAAAATTGTTCCGGAAGAGGAATGGGATGAGTTCCTGGCCTGCATGAAGACCAACCTCCCAGCTGCCTTCCGCCTGACAGGGAGCAAGAGCATGGCTCGGGCCCTCCTCAAGGTGCTCAGCAAGAGCTTTTTTGAGCCCTTATCGCAGCTGGTGCCACCTGAGCTCACTGAGGATGAGATCAAGGCAGGCGAGGAGCCAGTCAAGCCCCTACGCCCGATCTGTCTGCCATGGTAGGCTGCTGTTTTCTTTCCCCCATTGTCATGTTTGATTATATTCATCAGTTATATTTATTTATCATGTCACCATATTGCATCGACCATTTGTTAACTTTTTATAATGAATCCTGATCGGGTTGGCATACACTTAGTTGGGAAGCTTATCCTTCAAAGATTGAAGCAAATGGAATGAAATATACTAAGTAAATACAGTAAGATGAGCAAAAGGAAGATATAAAAAAAGATAAAAGCAATAAAAGAGAGAGAGAGAGAGTGCAGCTCTTACCAATAACAGATATAGGCTATTTCCAGGAGGTATTTGAATAGACATTGATTTGCATGTGGTCAGAGCCAGCTGAGGGTGGGCTCCACTACTTCCTTTCTCCCTCTCAGTGACTCATTCTTGAAATGTTAAGTTTCTAAATCATGACATCTCTGTGTCATGCTGCCCACAAAAAAAATAATGTGGACAAAAAATTATCATGTGATGAAATATGACCAAGCAGCTGAGAGTTTTCTCCTTGCTGTGATGGCACTTCACCAGTCGCTAATGGGTTAAAGAGAATACACTCTATATATTCAGACCCACAGGAAAAAAGATACTGCCAACAGGATATTTATAAAACCATAATGAAAATCAGACCAAGAAATGCCAACATTTAGATCCGTAAAGAAAATCCATCAACTTGAAACATGCTTGATCTCTCTCCGTCTCTCCCTCTCTCCCTGAGGTACCCAGACAACCTCGCCTGGCAGTTAAACTTGACACGACGCAACATCCGTAGATGTGAGGCCTACTGGCAGCTGCACCAGTGCCTCATCTCGGAGACAGAAACGGGCAACATCAGCAGGCAGGAAGCTGTTAGTATGATCCCTCCACTAGTGCTCAATGTTGAACCACATCATAAGGTAAAGTGCTGTGACTTGCTGTTAGCTTGAATAATATTTCTTATCCATCAATTTAATAATCTTTTTTAAGCAAAGCTGTGCAATAAGTAATAACTCTATATGTCTATGATTGTTTGCTTGTTTGTGTAATGTGTAAGAGCATCTTGACTTTCCAGGGGTTTAGACTTAGAGATTATCAATGCACTATAACATGTAGTGCACTGATAATCTCTAAGTCTAAGCTGTTGTCATTGCAATGATCATTTTAATCTCTCTCATTGGAAAAACTAAACTCACTTCTTTGATAATTTCTATTAAGGGCTAGTTTTTGTAATATGTGATTATATTTTTTAACCCCTTCATGACGGGTGACGCCGATAGGCGTGAAAACAAACCGCTTGAAAAGTGGCGTGCGCCTGTACAGCGCGGCAGCGCTCCAAAGCGCGGTGAGCCGGTGATTTGGCCTGATGTACCGAACTCCCGCGCTCAAAGTTGGTGCATCGCCATGGTTCGCCAGAGCGTAGATTTTTTCTTTTCTTTTCTTTTCTTTTCTTTTCTTTTTTTTTTCTTTTCTTTTTTTTTCTTTTCTTTTCTTTTCTTCACCCGTCAACATTGGGTTAACATTCAATAAAGAATAACCTTACCATTATAAAGAAAATATAGCTAATTCATCTACACTTTTTGAGGATAATGTATTGCAAAAGCAACTTTAGACTTGTCCTTTTCTTGCAGATTTTAGACATGTGTGCAGCCCCAGGAAGCAAGACAGCACAGTTGATTGAGTTCCTTCATTGTTCTGAGGATGAGTTGGGAGCAGCCATTCCCCAGGGGATTGTCGTTGCAAATGATGTTGACAACCGCCGCTGCTACATGTTGACGCACCAGGCCAAGCGTCTCCAGAGCCCCTCCATCATTATTACCAATCACGATGCTGCCTTCATGCCCAAGATCTACCATACTCGGAAGGGTGAGCATATCTCAGATGTGATGTGTATTTTGAATATATATTGTTTTTTCCCTTTCTGGAAGGGGACATGTTTTACATGAGAGCATAGAAGAATTGTATTTATTTTGTAATGATGAAAATGAAGAACTTGGTAATAACTCCATTTCCAGATGGAAGTGTTGGGCCTCTCAAGTACGACCGCATCTTGTGTGACGTTCCCTGCTCAGGAGACGGCACCCTCCGCAAAAACTTTGATGTGTGGGCCAAGTGGAATCCTGCCAATGGAGCCAATCTCCATGGGTGAGTTTGAGCACAGATTGAGGGCCAGGGCAGGTCATTTCTAATTCCCGCGGCAGTTCGCCAAAACAGTTTTTTTCTTTCTTTCTTTCTTTTCTTGTCTTTTTTTCTTTCTTTCTTTTCTTTTTTTTTTTTTTTTCTTTTTTTTTTCTTTCTTTTTTTTCTTTTCTTTTCTTTTCTTTTCTTTTCTTTTCTTTTCTTTTCTTTTCTTTTCTTTTCTTTTCTTTTCTTTTCTTTTCTTTTCTTTTCTTTTCTTTTCTTTTCTTTTCCTTTCTTTTCTTCCCCTGTCATCAAGGGGTTAATGTTGAAGTATGTTTACTATTTTACATTTGAAAGATCTATGTCTCTATAAAATTGTACTGCTTATTACATTGTACAGCTTTAGTAACCAGTTATTGTATTTGAATTTTAGAATCATTTGCACCCTGTGCTCAAGGGAGTGCCTGAAAACCCTCAATATCACACTCTTGTGTTGGTAGAGGATTTATCTCTATGGAGCTTCTCTAGTTTTAGATATCTGTGTGTCTGGGAAGGGAAGGGAAAATGCATATCTAAATGTTCAGCACTTCCTTTTTATGAGACGTCAGAAATGATAGTGTTCAAATATTTAAACAAACTAACATGTGTACTAAGCTCAAATTAAATACCGTCATATATGTGATATGCTGTTTATTTGTTCCTTTTTAAAAGTCGGTGTCTCATTTCACGAGCTGAGGTATTGTAAAATCCAACCTTGATTTACCCTCTCATAACTCTCACGTGTAGCCTGCAGCTGAGAATAGCGCGGCGTGGCTTGGAGATGCTAGAGGTGGGCGGACGCATGGTGTATTCTACGTGCTCCCTCAACCCCCTGGAAAATGAGGCCGTGATCCAGCGCCTCCTGATCGAGGGCAGCGGCTCTGTCAGGCTACTTGATGTGACAGAGCAGCTACCTGGACTCAAGGTGCAGTGGACTCTTTCATATTTTTTTTTATAAGTATACTAACATAACATGAATGCACTTGAAGATGAGCATTTAGATTTGGTTATTATAATTAGCACCTATTAGAAAATCTATTGGAATCCGATCCTTTATTAGAATTTTACTGACTTTTTGCATCATTTCCCTCTCAACAGTTTATTCCTGGCCTTGAAGAATGGACCCTGATGAACAGAGAAATGGAAGTGATCAAGACTGTGGCAGATATTCCCCTAAAGAACACTAACCTGTTCAACAAGCACCTGTTCCCACCTTCGCCAGAGGACAGAGAGAAACTCAATCTCCGCAGATGGTGAGTGAGCTTTTGGGCAGAGGCATCTGGTCAACAGAGCACAGTGATATGTCAGAAAAGGAAATAGAATGGCTACAATAAAAAAATAAATAAATCCAAAATGATCCAAGGTAAAAAATAGATTCCTCTTCACATTGTAACACCACTCACTCTGGCGCATCATGACGTGCTAGAGTGAGGTGAGTGGGAAGTTCCCAGGCCCAGTGGCTGGACTGTTGCCAGAAGTCAAAGGAATCAGTGATGCTGTGAGATTTCTGGTACCATCATTGTAGGGTTATCTGTATCTGCCGGGCCATGCCTATAGCCATCATAACAAACCGACTCAGTGTGCCAGGTACAACAGTAGGCATCATGACGCACTAGAGCGTGCCGAGTGTAGCGGACTCCTAGGCCAAAAGGCACGAAGGTTGCCAGAAGCCTCCGGAGTCAGTAACACCGAGAGTTCTAATACCATCACTACTGGGTTAAGAGCTAATACTTGTTATTTTTTATTTGTATACTGGAGTGTACATAAGTATCACAGTGGAATAAAGCAAATATATAAAATGACAGGCATATACACTACATCTCCCTTCTCCTTTCCACCACAGTATCAGAATCTTACCGCACCAGCAAGACACAGGTGGGTTCTTCGTGGCCGTCCTGGAGAAGGTGAATCCTCTGCCAGGAGAGAAAGTGTACAGACCAAGTGAGCAGACAGCGCAGAAGGATGAGTCGCACAAAACTCAGAGGATTAAGGAAGTGCGTTTGTGCATCTTGCTCACTTGTGTCAGGTTAATACAATTTGTTGAGAATGACTGACATTGTGGGTTTTGGTAGGAGGTTCTACTGCAAAATATTGTGGGTTTGCACTTTTATTTTATCAGATAAGTTGTTTAAGCAAAGTATTTTTATTTTTACTTTTGGGAGTATGTTTGATAATTTGCTATCAACACCTTAGTACAAAGCAAATTTGATAATACAATTGGTATGTTCACTGTAAGTAATGCTACTCACCGTGTATCAACCCCCACAGCCACCCAAGAAGAAGCGAAGACAGGGGTTCAAGGAGGCCCCCTACTACTACTTTGAGGACGATGAAGTTGTGTGGCCTGGCATTAACGACTTCTATGCCATTCGGGAAGAGATTGGGCCAGGCCTCTTCCTCAGCCGGACCAGGGAGGGCAAGAAGAGGAACCTTTACTTCACCAACAGCCTTGTCAAGGATATTGTCAACTTGAATCAAGAAGACATTAAGGTTGGTCAAGAGTCAGAGGAATTAACCCACTCTCAACAGGAGCTCCCAGCGCCTTGCCAAAGGATGTGTCTACATATGGGGTTAAAATTTCTTTGGCATTTTTTGTTACTTTTCAGTTTTTGTATCAGACAATTAGTAGGAGCAAAGTATTTTTATTTGTATTTATCTTGTTTTGATATATTTGATATTTTGCTTCCCCATAATACAGAATGAGTTTAAAATCAAATTACCTTAGACTTAGAATTGTGCCTCCTTTGTGCCATCACCAATCTTTGCTAACATTGATGTCAAGGAGGGTTTTGTCTTTGGGGTCTTTGACAAATTCTTTGTACAGCTTTGCAGTGCATGCTCTCATAATTTATGTGCATCACAAAAATATCTACAGTTCCAATGCCATGGCACCACAGCTGTGAAAGTCCTTGGTAATCCAGGCAGAGAAGCATTAATAGATATATCATCATTAAGATAATGGGAAGATCATTCCTCTGTGGAGTCGCTTCAAAATCAGGCAAGCATGATTCACACTGCACATGGACTGTAGTATCTAACTGATTAACCTGTTACCTCCTTAATGTTTTCACTGAAACAGGTACCACAATGAGATGTCTCACCATAGTATTTTATGTCTTACTAACAGTTTCATCACTTAGAATTTCATTTCCTTTAGTATTCATAATAGATTTCCTGTTCATTGAGGATGCACTAAAAACTTGCCTCCACAGTGAACTTAAAGGAGTCCTGTGGGTCACGTGATGAGCCAAGCTGTAGGTCATTGAATGAATTGAGCTCTATATAACCACCAAACTAGGTTGTGGATCAGTTGACAGACTGACTGTTGGTCAGTCAGTGAATTGGAATCTGTCGCGATGATCTGGAACTAAATGAAGTGGGTTGTATGTTGCATGGTGTATTTAACCCCTTCACGACGGGTGATGCCGATAGGTGTGAAAACAAAACACTCAAAATGTGGTGTGTGGCTGTACGCCGCTGCGGCACACCGAAGTGCGGCGAGCCGGTGATTCGGCCTGATGTACCGAACTCCCGCGCTCAAAGTCAGCGTGCTGCCACTGTTTGCCAGAGCGTAGAGTTCTTTTTTATTTTCTTCTTCTTCTTCTTCTTCACCCGTCACCATTGGGTTAAAAATGTACCTTAAAATCCTCTTTATCACTAAGCATTATTGAAAAATTATCCCATTTAATAACAAAGAAAAATTAAATATTTAGGTATCTTGGGCAGTAGCTATGTTGACGCTGCAATAGGCAGCATGAAAAAGGGAGGGCTTCTCATTTTGTCATCCTTAACCCCTGGCAGCAGATATGCTAAATGAATCTCATTGGATCTGGTATTTCAGATGGTATAAGATAAAAGTTTGCATTTTTGCATGAAGTAGATATTGGTGTATTTCATAAATTTAATGGACAGGTTACTTGAAAGACAGAGATAGATATATGTATTTAGATAGATCCATACATATTTTGATTATATAATTAATTAGATTATCTATATGACCACTACTAGTAAAGCTAGTTTATGGTGATATTTTGGAACAAAGATAATAATAAACATAATTGCACATGTGCATGTATGAAATCATTTGGAGTATAAATGTATCATTTCACAAAATAAAAAGAGCAGTTCATTCATGGAAGATATATAAACTTTCACAAGTTTCCCTAGGTTTTTCAGGTAGTTAGTCATTTGCGTTCATGCGACTGCTTGAAAACTGAGATTGATTCACTGTAGGATGAATCTCTTGTTACAAAAAAAAATGTTTAGTGATGAGTATTATTTTTTGTTAAAAGTGATTGTATAGTACAGAAATACTTAACCCAATGAGTGCGGGTGGCAAGACTACAATGCTGTGCCCACTGTAATAAAAGTTTATCTATTGTCTCTACACATAGATGGCTCTACAAGTGCTTAGTCACCAAGGAGTCAGCTATTAGTGTTACCCATCTCACCTGTTTACCCTTTTCCTTGTTTTTTTAAAAGCTTCATTTCTATCATTTTATTGGCTTTCATGTTATTAATATTTTAATAACAATTTAATAAACTTATCAATAAGAGTTATAACAATGTCAATATTGATAGTATTAGAAAGGAAAACACATTTTCTTGCAGAACCTGTGCACTTGCTAACAACATAAAAGCTTGATTAAGGGGATTTTCTTCTTCTTCTTCACCCGTCACCATTGGGTTAAAAATGTACCTTAAAATCCTCTTTATCACTAAGCATTATTGAAAAATTATCCCATTTAATAACAAAGAAAAATTAAATATTTAGGTATCTTGGGCAGTAGCTATGTTGACGCTGCAATAGGCAGCATGAAAAAGGGAGGGCTTCTCATTTTGTCATCCTTAACCCCTGGCAGCAGATATGCTAAATGAATCTCATTGGATCTGGTATTTCAGATGGTATAAGATAAAAGTTTGCATTTTTGCATGAAGTAGATATTGGTGTATTTCATAAATTTAATGGACAGGTTACTTGAAAGACAGAGATAGATATATGTATTTAGATAGATCCATACATATTTTGATTATATAATTAATTAGATTATCTATATGACCACTACTAGTAAAGCTAGTTTATGGTGATATTTTGGAACAAAGATAATAATAAACATAATTGCACATGTGCATGTATGAAATCATTTGGAGTATAAATGTATCATTTCACAAAATAAAAAGAGCAGTTCATTCATGGAAGATATATAAACTTTCACAAGTTTCCCTAGGTTTTTCAGGTAGTTAGTCATTTGCGTTCATGCGACTGCTTGAAAACTGAGATTGATTCACTGTAGGATGAATCTCTTGTTACAAAAAAAAATGTTTAGTGATGAGTATTATTTTTTGTTAAAAGTGATTGTATAGTACAGAAATACTTAACCCAATGAGTGCGGGTGGCAAGACTACAATGCTGTGCCCACTGTAATAAAAGTTTATCTATTGTCTCTACACATAGATGGCTCTACAAGTGCTTAGTCACCAAGGAGTCAGCTATTAGTGTTACCCATCTCACCTGTTTACCCTTTTCCTTGTTTTTTTAAAAGCTTCATTTCTATCATTTTATTGGCTTTCATGTTATTAATATTTTAATAACAATTTAATAAACTTATCAATAAGAGTTATAACAATGTCAATATTGATAGTATTAGAAAGGAAAACACATTTTCCTGCTAATTCAAGGAATGGGGAAATCAGGATTGGTTACTAGGGCCAACTGATAGACTCCTTGCCAGCTGAGCACATATGGAGCCATCTGTATGTAACAAAACTCACCAAAATCTAAAGGGAACAGTACATAAACCTGCTGACATTGGGTTAAAATGTATATTAAAATGTATATTACCTGTGCACTTGCTAACAACATAAAAGCTTGATTAAGGGGATTTTCTTCTTCTTCTTCAAACAAGATATGAGAAAAGAATTGGCTATCTTGAATTCCTCACAATAAGTGTATGTGCAAAGAAGACACCAAACAACCTGCTAGTATGTTTTTGGCAGTTTGGCCTACCACCACTGCCTTGGAATTGTGCTTTGAAAGGTTGTAAGTTCAACAATGATGACATGTTGATCAAGGTGTCCATACCCCTTTGGGCATAGGTATAAAGATTTATAGTATGAATCTCTGGACACCCTTTTGTAAAATAAATTCATGTGGAAAGTCAGAATAAAGATTTTGACTTTCCGGCCTATTGGATGTAGGGTCATACTAAGCAGTCCATTTCGGAGGGCATTGTGGGAGGGTCAAGAACTCGATCTTTAGGTAATAGGCTTAATGTTTGAATATGCATTTATAGAACATTTATCATGATATCTTCTTTTTCAGATTATCAACACTGGTGTCAAGGTGCTTGTTAGGAGTGATAACAAGGGCACACCATGTGACTTCAGGCTTGCACAGGATGTACGTGAAGAGGAAATCTTTACTTTGATTACGTTTTAATCCACTGCTAAAGGGCATGACATACATACATGCCATGCCCATAATGGCTTTGTCACCAAGGAATCTATTACTAGTTCTGTCTCCCGTGTTTACTCTTTTCCGTGATTTTTGGAAATACTCTTGTTTATTATTTAATATTGTTATTTGTAATGTTAAAAAATTATAATAATTATAATGTCAGTATTAATAACAGCATCATTATTAATAGTGTCAAAAAAAAAAAAAAAAATCAAGGAAAGGGGAAGTCGGAGAATAACATAGGTCTACTAATTAGCTCCTTGATGGCTGAACACTCAACACATTTCACAGTGGACATAATTTGTTCCCAGAGATATTGAGTTAATCAAAGACCAAATATCTAGGAAACAGTATTGCAATTTTTCCATTACTGAAGTCATGAATCTTGAGGCAAGAGTTAAGGAGGCTGTTTATCAGAAAAATTCAGGAGGCCTAATGGCTGGATTTTGGTCCACATGTGCAAAGCACCCAGATCCTGTTGGGTAATGTTGATTTACTTCCTGGACTCATTAATAAATAATGGCTGATGCAATCTTAGCCAAGCTAAGTGTCAACATATGTTGACATTAGATAAGGAAATGGGTAGTTAATTGAAGTGTAGAAGTTACTTGTTACTCCAACATTGCTAAAAACGTTACAACGTATGATTTACTGATAGATCATCTGCTTAGACCGTGTTATTGTATTTTATAAATATTCTTACTCTTGTAAAAAAGAACACTGAGATGATTACAAGTATGTGCAAGTGATACGATTGGTATTAACCATTCCATTATCTTTCAGAAAATAAAGTGATTCCCATCATTCATAATTCCTATTTTTCTTCTCCATTTACCAGGGATCTGCAGTATTGCTGCCTCTCATAACTAAGCGCAAGATCACTGTGACGAAGGAAGACCTAGTGATAATGTTGCAAAATGACGATATGGAAATGCCACCTGAAATCACCACTCTTAATCCAAAGACACAAGAACAGTGCACAGAGTTGTGTAAGTATGGGAGATGATGTTACAGTTATTATGATTATTATGTTATTATGACTTGCAATAATAATAATAAAGATAAAATTTAAAAGTGTGTTTCTAAGACAGGTCTGAAGTACTTCTGAAATGATAATCGTGTATTTTATTTCATTTGTCCAGATATTCTCATTTTCATTGAAATTGATAAAGTAGTGATTTATCTCTCTTGTCTTAACCCATGTACACATTCATATTATAAGTATTTTGGATTTCTATTGAAAATTAAATTCATGGCTTGCAGGTACAGGTGCAATAGCCTTCCTGTTCAAGGACGAAGATCTCACCATAGAGCTGGTGGGTTGGAAGGGCAATAGGTCTGTCCGTGCATATGTGGCAAAGCATGACCGTCTCCACTACCTTAGACTTTTAGGTGCAGACACTTCAAAATACGAGAAGAATAAATTCCAAGAACAGAGAGACCTGGAAGCCAAAAGCGCTGCTAGTGAGAACAACAGTGAAATGTCACTTGGCAATGCAAACAGTGATGTCACAGATATGACGAATGATGAAACTTTAAAAGAGAATAGCAATGGTGAAATGGTCAATGAAGATTTACCTAATTTCTGCAGCATTGATGTGATTTAGGGTTTATTTTTCATTATACATTTTCAACAATAAATGGAAACACAAAGAGAAAGAAATGTTAATTAGAAGTGTTTTTCTTTATTTTTAACCCATGTACACATTCATATTATAAGTATTTTGGATTTCTATTGAAAATTAAATTCATGGCTTGCAGGTACAGGTGCAATAGCCTTCCTGTTCAAGGACGAAGATCTCACCATAGAGCTGGTGGGTTGGAAGGGCAATAGGTCTGTCCGTGCATATGTGGCAAAGCATGACCGTCTCCACTACCTTAGACTTTTAGGTGCAGACACTTCAAAATACGAGAAGAATAAATTCCAAGAACAGAGAGACCTGGAAGCCAAAAGCGCTGCTAGTGAGAACAACAGTGAAATGTCACTTGGCAATGCAAACAGTGATGTCACAGATATGACGAATGATGAAACTTTAAAAGAGAATAGCAATGGTGAAAATGGGTCAGACACAAATGGTGAAAATATTATAGAAGCTGAAGAAAAATAAACTTTTTTTCTTCTTCTTTTTAATTGTTGGAATCATTGTAATTAAAGATTTACCTAATTTCTGCAGCATTGATGTGATTTAGGGTTTATTTTTCATTATACATTTTCAACAATAAATGGAAACACAAAGAGAAAGAAATGTTAATTAGAAGTGTTTTCTTTTATTTTTATTTTTTCTAATATGCAGCACATCTGTAACAGTTGTGACAATTATTATATTGTTCATATTATGGTATAAGGAAACACTTTTTATGGATATTTTGCAATAAAGTGTTAATTAGATATGTTGTCGAGTATCAATCTTCTCAGAATAAATGTGTTTTTCAACAGATTACATAAATTTGGTTATCTGTTATTTGTTGTGTGCTTAAGATTCTTATTTGTGATATTATTAACCTATTTCCGCCGGGGAAAATTAACAAAAAATGGGGTAAATGCTGTACTCATTTTTTATATTTTTGTGAAATATCTCTGTACATAGATGGCTCTGCTAGTCCTGATTTCACCTTTCCTTGAATTGGCGGGAAAAAAACGTATTCTTACTAGTGCTATAAATATAGATGGTGTTATTTTTAACAGCAAATTAGGATAACGTTAAATATTTTTGTAAATCGAGACAGGCAGTACTCGTAATTAGCTCACTGGTGACTTAGTGCAAGTGTAGCCATCTATGTGTAAAAACAGTCAAACAAGTTGACTCACAGTGGGCATTGCATGTACGTACATGCCATCCCCGTCGGTAAGGGGTTAATGCAATATCTTTATGCTGGCTAAAACATTGAAAGGCCCAAATTCCAGGACACATCTAAACATTGTGCACCAAGGGCAGGCAAGCTGCCTGCTTGTTTTGTGCCATATCTCCACCAGCAAAGTCCTGGGTATGTCTTTGACAAGAACATGTATGATATAACCAGGCCTCAGAGCTATTTTTAGCCTGAATTCACATGAAAGGACCCAGCCTCCAATGCAGATCCACGTCATAGGTCTATAAACTGTGACTGGACTGGCAAGATAGCCACTCTTAGCACAGCATGGTATACTGTTGGGAGGTAATGGATCTATATAATCAGTAGAGTTGATGATGTAACTGAAATTTTAATTTGATTCAGATTAAAATAAAACTATAATTTTATTCCAATAATTTTTAGTTTCTTCTTCAAAGGTGAGACAAAGTATGTCTTAGTTTTCTAAGCAATTTTCTATGGTTTATTTTGAAATAGAAAGTATTTCATGGCATTGCAACAAATATTTTTATTTTACTACCAATCCATAGTAGTGTTAGATCCACTGATACTGGAAGGGTAACCATGTGTGCAATAACCAGATTTATTTATTTTTTTACACATGGTTCCTTAAGGGCTTAGTCACCAAGGAGTCGATTACTAGTCCTACCTAATCTCATCTGTTTGCCCTTTTCCTTTATTTTCAGAAATACATTTTGCATATTTTATTGTCATTAGTATTGTTAATAACATGATAATAATGATGATGATAATAATACTAATAATGGTGGTGATTATGATAATGATAATAATAACAATAATAATAGTAAAAGAATTAGGGGGGGAAATCCTGAAAGTTCAAGGAATGGGTAATCATGTGGCATCAGCCAGAAAGGCTTAGGAAGCAGAGACTAAGGCCCAGTGTAGGGATCACCCCTGCCTTGGACCTCAGCCCTTGCCTTAACTAATTTTGCTGGGTCTTTTCTTCTTCCTCTTTCTTTCTCCTTCTCTTCTTCAACCCTTTCTTCTGTCCACTTATCAAAATTGTTCACCCCCATTTACCCTTTTCACCACAATCCTTTACCATAATGCAGTGTAGCCTTTGATGTCTGGGTTGTATTGACCATTGAACATTCTGGAAATCCACAAACATTGCCTTACATGAACCCAAAAACTTTCCCTGGGGGATTTGCCCCCAAGCCCCACCCTATATTTTGATATTTTGTATACACTGCTAAATAACCTTAGATGTTGACGTGGCAGAAAATGTTCAATAAATATATAAATATAAAAAGTTGCAAAAGATGCATTAAGATGAATGAAGAATTCATGTTGATTTCTCAAAATGTTTTGTCAGTTGTAAGGTTCATGGTACCCTACAGTATTTTAAAGTATTTAGGTTATCTATCATTCCACTGATCATCAGACTGCATTATCAGTCAGAATACTTTGGTATCATGCTAGTTATAAGGCAGAATACAGACAACTGCTTGCAATTTGGAAAAGTTTTAACTGACAAATGCAACAAAGACAAGAGTGTACTAGTGCAGTCCTTGTATTTCAAAAAACGCAGATACCTTTAAAATCCATAGAAGTTATTTATGAGGAAATGTGAATCAACCTGACGACACCTGTTCCTGCTATGACAATGGAGGCTGGTCTCTGTTGTGTATTTTATACAGGCATGGAATTATATGCTAGTTCTCATGCAAAATGCTTCCAAAGTCAGCCTAAACCTGTTTTTCAATGCCTTTATGAAAAACATTAATCATCTTCTCCAGATAAAATATACTTTTAAGTTTCATCTTGTACAGGTGATCTTGATATTAACTGAAGCACTGCAACAATTGCATTCTGATTATGTCATTACTGGGTTACCTTTGATTTTCATTACAAATGTTGCCTCTTCTATTTTGTATTTACTTATTTTTTCTTTCTTGTTTAAAAGGATGGTCACTTCCTTTGGTTGGTCAACTTTCTTTTTTTTTCTTTTTGTGATTATATTTTGTGAAAAGTCGGTCAAGCCCCAATGAGAGGATATCAAAATCCAGAGCAAATGGAATATGAAAATACTTGCTTCTCCTTCATAAGTTTTGCTTGTTCCTTATAAAAGAAATAAAAGCAAGATAAATGATTATCATTAGAAAAAGATTTATTGTGATATTGGTAAAATAAAGGAAAAATTTTAAAATTTGTACCTGAAGCCCTGAAAGAAAATGAACAAGTATTGTACTTACTGAAAAAATGCTGGATTTTGGTTGGTTCAGAGAAATTAACTGTAAGAGCCATAAGATTAACAGACAGAGAACTAAAACTGAAGTAGAGAAATACCATTGGAATTTGTCTTGTGATGAGTTATCTTATATCTTATTTTATTCCCTTACATAATTCATCCATTCTCAATGACACTGAAAGGTGGACCATCTGCAGGAAAATGAAACACTCTGTCATGACACATCTTTTTAAAAATTTTAGGATACATTTCACAGATCTCAAAAAAGAGAATAATGTGGTCTATCATCTAAATTAATCTATGCATATGTATATAAACATATATTAAAGGAACTAAATGCTGTTCAAAATCAGAGTTTATACACATTCGGTTTTTTCTCTTAATTCATAAATAATCATGTGCATACTTAGGAAATGATTTTATGGTCTTATTAATATTCAACAATGTATCATAAATAAAACGTATATCCTGTATATCATATCTGTTGAAACACAGTTACTCTACTTACAAGAACTGAAGCCTAGAGCACTGTACTGTGCCTACACCACCCATGGCACTTGCCTACGACAGACTGAAATGATAACTGGTAGAATCTTGGAACATGGAAATTGAATAAATATGAAAGTTGGTTAATTAGCTACTCTAAAGTCAACCCATTTGTGCAGGCTGTTTTGTCTAACAAGGTGAAGCTCTAAAATACAAACAGCTAAAAAAGGTTTTTGATGCAGAAGAAAATTTAAGAGAAAATCCAGTGGGATACACATCCCATCTCAAAAGACAAATTCAGATTCATCACGAACCTATATCTGGAGAGCTAAACCTAAATATATTCTACAATCTCAATTGTAACCATTCTTCAAAAAATAATTGTGCTATTACCTCCTAAAAGTGATTTAATCTATTGCAATAATGGCCTTTGAATAAATTATCACCCTCTTGTCCATTGGACCCCACTCACTTAGGGACATCACTGTGTTTCTTCAAGTGTTGTTTTAACGAGCCATAATCTCGACTCCTATAATCACACAGCTCACACTTATATGGCTTTTCTCCTGTGTGTATTCTCATGTGCCGCTTCAGAGCTTCACTGTAGCTTGTCTTATAGGTACAAAGTTCACAGTTGTAGGGCTTTTCACCTGTGTGAGTTCTCATGTGCTTGGTCAGGTTGCTCTTCCACTGGAACACCTTCCCGCACTGAACACATGTGTGGCCGGCTTCATTTTCATTGCCAACCAGATGTGGACCCTCTTCTCTTCCCCTACCCACAGACATGCCTGCTTTGCTGCCATTTTCCTGTGGTGCTCCCTGCAAGATCTAATTATTAATAACATGACTTTTTTTTTTTTTTTTTTTGTACCACAGCATTTAATTCTTACTTCAGATATAAAAAAAAAAATTAATCTGTGAAGAATATTGTATTGTTTTGGTGGTTAATCTTAGTTACTACATATATATACTTACATGTGAGTTGCCTTCAATCATGACATTCAACATTGCATTGACTTCAGCATTTGAACTTGTAGCTTGTGTATTTTGATTATCAGTGTGTGCTGCCTGACCCGTATTTCCATAGTTCTCTCTCCCGGAGGTAGAGATGAGTGTCTGTAGAGACTTGAGATGGGGAGAATAACCTTCCTCCTGGCCATAGCCCATGTCTTGAACATCAGCTTCTAGATTGTGATCCTCCACCTCAACCTTGACCTTTACCTCCCCTTCGTTCTCCAAGCCGAAGTTGTGTGTGGTTTTACTCTTCTTGCTCTGGTAGTCCTCTTCGTAAGGTACATCAGCATCCCATTTTTGTTTCCTCTTGTGGGGTCTCTCACTGGATGCCCCTGTGACCTCCATCTCCCTGCCACTGGAGTCCCTGTCCTTAGAATCACTCCCATCTCCACTGCTCTCGCACTCGTCATCTTCGTAGGGCACAGCCAGGCCCCGCACCATCAGCACTTCAGCTGCACTCACCAGCTTTGGAAGGTCCTCCTGATTGACCACAACCTCCCCCAAGTACATGAAGTCTAGGAGGGCTGCCAGTTCTTTGTGCTGCACATTGGATGACAAGGAAATAGAGCCTCTGTGCGGGACATCAATCAGTATGTCTTTGAAGTATTCACTGCAAGCTGTCAGGACAAACTTATGCACCCAGTGGACATGGCCATCACATTCTAGCTGCACATCTGCATAAATTTCCTAATAAAAATAAGAGAAAATCACAGTTAATATGAAAATATATGGTTCTTAGAATGCATAATGAATGAACATTGGAAACTCTTGAATATTTCAAAAGCATTTTTACATACACTTAATATATTTTTTCCAAGTCATAAAGT